ATTTGTTTAATTTTTGGGGGGAACCCGGGAGATGGAGGGGGGGATAACGTTAAACAAAGTTTCAACTTCAAGCGGCCATAGTATAATTTGATTTCAACTTATAAAAACATTATATATTTTCTTTTCTATAAATATACATTCATTTTAAATACACAATTTACTTTTTTGACTATGGTTCTGAGGAGGGGATGCACTTAGAGAAATCTACTGTAGTTAATAATAAAAGTTTATTCAAATCTAACATAATAAAACAGTTTTAAACAAAAATGTTTTCATTTACCTCATTCTAAGTGTAATTTGGCATGGTTCTATATTTTGTTTTCTAAATAAAGTTTTTCAGTTTTGGGATTATTTTGGGATTATTTTGGGATTATTTTTCATAGTGAATAAAACGTTTTAGAGCTGTCAATATGTTTGCGACGAATTTTTGTTAATGAAACGTTATGTTTTTAAAAAGTACTTTAAAACATAACTGATTTACATCAACCAATCAGACGAATTTCCTCAACACTAATTCTGTAATTTTGATCATCATTCAATTACGTGTTTAAAAATCGCGTCTGTGTAGCATTTTTTCCGGCCTGGTCCCCCGAAACTTTTTATCTTTTATAATTCTTAATAAAATGTCCGTTACGGTTGTTCCAAAAAATAATTTAGAACAACAACTTAAATGGCTGACGGAAAACAGACCAAAGCGTCGTGTGCCCTGTTCTCCGTTAGACTTACAACAGAACACGAAATGTTCACGTGTTTATTCAAACAAAGAAAATATCGACATAAATAACTCGCTTACCGGGACTTCCGAACAAAACGCAATCATTTTGGATGATGATAGTACGATCTTAAATACTGATTTTACTATAAGTACTAAAACTTATGAAGAATGGATAAATGATTTTGAGCCGTTTACCGAAGAAGAATTAAAAAGTGATTTAGAGGCACTAGGCCTTAAAGATATTATTAAAAATGTCAGTGACAAAAATAATGTTGATGCAAATGCTCAAACGTACGAAACATACGATGATTTGATTAAAGATTTCGAACCATTTACCGAAGAAGAATTAAAAAGTGATCTAGAAAATTTCGGGCTTATTATTTCACCGAGCACGTCATATGTAAAGCATAATACCGAAGTTCCAACGTTTAAGCTTGATCTTAATTTCTCTAAATTAGAGTGCATTGACATAACGCATGACTTGTGGCCAGAAAACCACCAGGATCTCGTAAATATGGGCTATGAGGAGTTGAAACAATGTTTGTCTACAGCTCAGTTTATTAAATGTAAAATTGGTGATGAATTGTGTGATTTGATTGAAAATAGTACAGGTGATGATTATCGAACAACCCTATTACGTAAAAAAAGAGTCGATTCTTTCCGACGAATTGAGGCAATAAAAGAAAAACTAAATTTATCAAATAGCTCAGGCGTCACACAGACACTTGTAGGGTCAAAAAATACCTTGAATAAGTTTCATATCGCAGAAAACAGAACTACATTCTTTAAAAGCGCAAGTGATATTAATTTTAATAATAACAACAATAATGAGGTTTATTCGGTCTCTTCTGACAGATTAATATCTGGTAATAATAATATTGTTGATTCTTCACAAGAAAACGCCGATATTTTTAAGGTATTGCGTGGTAACTTTAAATTAGAAACGTTTCGACAAAATCAATTAGAGGCTATTAGTGCGACATTGCAGAGAAAAGATGCTTTTGTATTGATGCCTACCGGAGGCGGAAAAAGTTTATGTTATCAACTACCAGCTGTATTGGATAACATTAGAACTAACAAAGTCACTATTGTAATTTCTCCATTATTGTCGCTTATTCAAGACCAAATCCAGCGATTAAATCAACTTAAAATTCATGCATTGGAACTACAAGGTGATCATGATATAAACCGTCGAAATTTGGTGTTTCATGAATTAGAAAAATCAGCACCAACACTTGTGCTACTTTATTTGACACCAGAGATGCTAAATAGAAGCAATCGTGTCATGGATTTAATCCAATCTCTTCATCGTCGCGGGCGATTAGCACGATTTGTGATCGATGAAGCTCATTGTGTAAGTCAGTGGGGTCATGATTTTCGACCAGACTACAAAGATCTTGGACAATTGAAGGTGAAATTTCCTAATATTCCAATGATAGCACTCACAGCAACAGCAACTGCTCGAGTTAAAGAAGATGTGATCCACAATCTATCAATGAAACATTGTGAAATATTTATTCAGGGGTTTAATAGATGCAATTTAATATATCAAGTTTGGAATAAAAGTAAAAATGTAGATACACAAATCGTTAATTTTATTCGGTCACATTATCTAAGAGAGACAGGGATTATTTATTGTACTTCAAAAGCTTCATGTGAAGATGTTGCTCAAATGCTTTGTAAGAAAGGACTAAATGCTGCATATTATCATGCCGGGTTGGATAAACGTGATCGACAAAGAATTCAAGAAGATTGGCATTCCAACAAAGTTCGAATAATCGTAGCAACCACAGCATTTGGGATGGGAATTGACAAACCAAATGTTCGTTACGTAATTCATTATTCACTTCCACAATCGTTAGAAGGATACTATCAGGAGACGGGACGTGCAGGCAGAGATGGAAAAAAATCAGTATGCATATTATTTTATACCTATACAGATAAATTTGCTATTGAAAAGTTAATTATTTCCGGAGATGGTGGTTTTCAACAAAAACAACAACAACGTGAGAATTTACGGAGAATGTTAAAATATTGCGAGAATAAATATGACTGCCGTCGGCAACAAATTTTGGCATATTTTGGTGAACTATTTAACTCAAACCAATGTCGTAAAACCTGTGATAATTGTGAAATGGCAGCCACGGCACGAATAATCGAATTCGATGCTACAGACGTAGCAAAGGTAAGCATTTAATTCCATAACATCTTTAATATTATGTCGCGATTGTTCATTCAGTTTTAAATTAGGAGATTATACGATTGGTGGATCGGAATAAGCACGCAGACGTTACCAGTAATCAATTTATAAGTATGATGAAGACAGAGAACAGTAAAAATTTTGCCTCAATTGTTCAAAGGAAACATTTAGTACTCCCACCCGAATTTAAACCCTCAACTTTATCAAAGGATCAACTAGATAAGCTGTTTAAGACAATGATACTACAGGAATTCTTATTAGAACAAAATCAACCAAACAATCAAGGATATATCACCTCTTATATAAAGGTAGGATAAAAATTTGATTACTTTTAAAATATTTGCGGGGCATTATTCATTATTTCCACGATGCTGGATAGGTTGGGATCAAGGCTAATGATTTGTTAAGGGGTAAGGAAACTATAACATTGAAGATGATAGCCTGACAGGTAAGATTATGATTTTTCTATTATTAATGGATATGTATACACTTTCTCACTTCATTTTAACATTGCACTAATATGCTAACTTTTCAGCTTTGTAAATATTTAATATATTTATTTGATTAAAGTTTCGACATTATTATTTTGTCAACATTAATAAACGTTAAAAAATATAATACCGAACCTATCATTATGTATTGTAATAAAAAAAAAAATAAAAGGATGATGAAATCGATCTGACTAGTGAATGACGCTATCCACTGTAAATATGGAATTCGCAATCTACATGAAATATTACGAAAGCTGGCAAAATGTCGGGTAAACTCTTAAAAAATATATTGCCATAAATGATAAATTGTTATATATATAAAAAGTTAACCGATTTTTATTTTCTAGGTTTAGCACCAAAAATGCAGTTTTTGATAAAAGAAATTTAGGCTGAAAATTAAACAAAATTTTACTAAGTACGTAAAATGTTTGCTACGAAATGAAAATTTTAATACCTAAAATTTTTTAGATTTGGAACGAGTAATACAAACAAGGAAAATACTAACCCTAAAAAGAAAATGATGTACATTAGATTTGTAAATTTTAGGGAAATTACCTTATAGGATTTTGTTTTTTTGTATAATGTTATTTGTTAATGTTAGTCGCTAAAATAAATGTTTTATAATATTTAGAGTTTAATATATATTAAAAAAATAAAGTATTAATTCTAAATATTAAAAATAATATTAGGGTTTTAGAGTTAGAGTGCTGCAAATAGTATTAAAAATAGAGTTACCGGTATAATTCATTGCCGAATTTGACAGGGCGTAGTATAGATTTTCCGATCATGTGATTTCCCGATTTTATTTTTTTTTTTTAAATGCGAGGCCGTGCCTCTGTTCCTTTATTAGAATTCATATGACAAATGTTATTACAATACTTTATATTTTCTAATCTATATGGAATTAAAGGCTAAAGCTACTTTACTTTTGATCTAAGCTTTTGCTAAGATAGGTCAACGACCTCATTAGTCTATATATGGAATATTGAGTGGAAAGGTGTTTGCTGTTATAAAATCATTAAGCCAGTAGTTATATTTATATTTTTTATAGTAAGCTGGGTATTTGGGTTGATGTTTGTTTATGATCGGAATTGAAGACTGAAGACTTCATATAGCTTGGTTTGAGAGTTCTGTGCATCTTGCTTTCCAAGTTTTCTTTTAGATTTTCTTAATAACATAATGAAGAAAGTAGTAGGTGGGATTTTTTGTTGCATTGATGTCTGCTTGAAGATTTTTATTGATAATAATATCATTTGTAATAATTCTGAGTGGTGCAGATTGTGATTTGCATATAGACTTTTGTAAAAAGTTTTATTTGAAATTGGTAGTATTTAAATTTATCTGATATTTTTGTATTGTTTGATTGAGAGTTTGTATGACTATTTTTTCAATTGGATGCATGTTGGTTGTGCATATAAGCCAATGTTGATTATCTTCATTTATTTGCATACATCTGTGGTATATAGGGTTGTTGTATTTTGCTAGATGTCGAATATATAAATTAAGAAGTGTTGGAAGTTCATCTATAATTAATTTTATTTTGAAGGTTTTGATTTTGATTTTGGTTTGGGTAGGATGTATATATCAGCTTAAAGGGTTGTTATGATAGTTTATAAAGTTGAAGGTGAGTTCTTAGTTGATTTCTTTTGGATCTAGTTTCCATAGGTGCATTCTGTTTAGGTTGTGCTAATCTGTTATATTTTTTGTATTTTGTAGGTGCCTTAGTAATCTCCTTGGGTTATGTGGAAATGCATGATAGCTAAGTTTGGGAATATAGGTGTTGTGCAGTATCAGCTCAGTGGATTCCAAAAGGTGTAGATAACAATTGGTTGACAAGATATGTGGGAGTTTGAACTATGTTTGTAAAGTCATGATCTAATTGTTTTTCATTAGTAATGATGTTTAGTATACAAGCATGTGATATCACAGTAATTAGTATTAGCAGTGCTGTCAGCAGAGCTTTTCTTTTAAACAGCCAGGTTAAATTTGAGACTTAAAGGTCGAGAAGTGTATTAGTTATTGTCCAGCAGGCTATGGGTTGTGTGTTGAGTTTGTACTATTAGATTGTATGTTTATATTCATATTTAATATTGTTTTCCTATAAAAAAACTTGTAGATTTGCTATAATTTTTGTTGTAGATTGGGTGTAGCATCCATTAAATTTTTGAAATCTGATCTTTATACATAGTAAAGGTGTATTTTTGTTGTAATTTTGTAGTATTAGGGTAGAGCTGTATTGGAGTTGTGTTTAAATCCTTGATGTTTACATGTATATATTTCTTTTTGTCTATTTGTATATATATTAAATTTTGCACAGAATCTTTAAGATAGTAGCATTATTGATTTGAGGAACTAAGTCTATATTCTATGTATTTGGTTAGTTGGTGGGGTTGTTTGGTGATTGTTTCTAGTATCAGAAAATGATAGTTTGATTTTTCCTTTTTGAAAATTTTCCAAAAACCTAGATTTATAGGTTATAAACCTATACAATGTGTTGATTATTTAAAGGTTGTGTAGTAAAGGGATTGGGTTAGACAAGCTGTTTATAGATATTTTCTGCTATAGTAATATCATTTAGAAAGGTGTTGTATCACTTTGGTTGTCTGCCTCTGGATATTCTTTGTGTGCTGTGATATGATTCCTGCCAGGTTAGGAGCTGTGTATGAGAATAGTTAGTTAATTGTTCAATAAAGTAGATATGAAGTGTATTTAGTTTTCTTTTTATAACTGAGGCTTTCGAGTTTGAGTGTAGTATATTATTGATAGAGGTTTTTGTTTGGTTCATTGGTATAGGCCAGATATTACTGTCATTATGTAATATAAGTTAAACTTTATAAAGTTAAAGTACTATTTGAGCAGTAGTTGTTTTGCTTTCTGGTGATAGAAAGATAGGTTGATGAGTAAGTATCAAAAGGTTTGTAATAGCTGAATTTTGTAGTAGTTATAGCCATATTTTTAATGTAGATGCATTAAAAGAGAGGTGATTAAGAATTTTGAAGAAGTTGTTGATATGTTGTAATTGCTGTGTATTTTAAATTGTTTTTTTTTTTTTTTTTTTTTTTTTTTTTTAAATACCATAGTTATAACTTTATTTAATAAAATAAAAAAAAATTCTACATTCTAAAGATTTCAAAACTATATTTGTGCTACAAATTAAAGCACCCAATGTGACATTATACCCTCTATTTTCTAAAATACATATTAACTATTACATAATTAATTAGTTAAAATAGGTTGGAGGAAATCTAAGGTATATATCATAGCATTTAAGAAATACAATTTGTTAATGAAAAGCCTTGTAGGAACTATTTTTCTATAAAAGCAGAAAACTCTATTTGAGATGTGCTTAATGAGGAATTTGTTGATACAAAAGAAGTATTTGGTAATATATATTTGTTCTGTTTAGTTTTAGTAGCAATATTACGAGCTTGCTTCTATTGATATTGAAAAATATTTTGTATAGTCCATATTTCACTATGAAACTAATTTAAGAGATTATTAGATAAAGTAGTTAGAAATTGTTTGGTTTGTTTAGCTAGCTGTAACTTGATATTTTCCAATGATATAGTATAGCAAGAGATTATAAAGTGGATTAGGTTATTAAGTATGAATCGCAAAAGGATATTAAGAATTGTAAATGTAGATGTAGTTGTTGTTTTAAGTGATAAAAGTAAATTTAATATTTTTTTTTTTTTTTTGTATTCAAGGTTAGCCTCTTTGGCTCGTCACTTTTATTAGATTATAGAATCATATGGTGCCCTTTCAAGGGGGCCCCAGACAAGTACATTCTGACAAGGATACATTCTAGTCATATCTACACCTTTTGAGTGCCTAATTAAGTAGTTATACTAAGTACTACACTAGATGCCGTACCTATAACTCACTATTATTTGGATTATCCAATTAAATCCTCTGATCTGAGTTTCCTATGCCAATCCATCTAATTTCACCCGGAACATACAATACATTAGTCAATCCAAGTTTTAGGATCATTGCAGACTACCTATAGGACTACCGGCTTTTTAACCGATTCATCCTCGAGTGCATCACCTGCTAGAGTAGTCCGGTATCTACTATTATCGTATTACCTAGTCTACTTCGGTAATTTACGCCTAGGCCGAGACCAAGTACTTGCGAGCCGAAGCCGCTACTATTACCTACTCTGCCCTTGTAGAGTTCACCCAAACCCCGGTTCCTTCCCTTCAAGTCAACTCGGTACCTTCTCTTTCAGTACCTTCTAGCCGGTCTCTCTAGACTACCAATCCAGATAGCCTGAATGTGACACCTGTCCCTTGGTATCTGCACTACAGATCCTTTTCCTCTGGCGATTCCGACGGCCTGGTTGGTGGAGTAACTTCACTCTGAATACCCAGTCCTCATCCAGTTATATCAGCCTCGGGTGAAGCCTATCCAGTAGCCACTATCAAAGGTTTGTGCTACCTCTCTACTCGGGTCTTGCCAAGCGGGCATCCATCTTTTCGGTTCCCTAGGTTTATATGAATACGAGATCTTATCTTGGGTTTGCACTGACTAATACTGGCTTACAAGCCTTCATGTAACTTATACATTGCACGAATGCCCATGATCTTCCAATCTTGTTGGTGCCACCAAGGTTACAGAGATCTCGTTCCAACCGATCATTGAAAGACAGTAGCCATTGTACAAACAGAATATTCAAAATTTCGCTGTAGATGGGTTTCGAACCCTCCACCTGCTAACATGCCGCTTGGGGGTGCGACAACTTAACCACTTCACTAAGTCGCCACACTCTGTAAATTTAAGATTATATCTGTTAAAGAATGTTGAAGATTAATATTGTTATTAGAGCACAAAAGTAGATGTAGAGTATCTTCTAAGTTAGAGCAATGAGTACAATTTGGTATAGTATATAGGTAAGAATATCGAATATTAAGGTTTTCTATAATAAGTTGATTGTTAATTAATATTTTAACTC